ATTACAGTATTTCCAGTTCACTTTTCATTTCTGGGTCAATTTTGGGTGAACTCAGCTACTGTGTTGCTACATTTTGTTTTGTGCCTCTTTTCCATAGCAACGGTGACCAAAGCTCATAGGTATTGTAGTATTTAGACCAGTCCGGCATGCCAAATTGATTTGATGGAGTGTAAAATGAAAATAATCCCATGAAAAGAGTAATTATTAAAAAAATATATATATAAAAAAAGGAAACCCAACAATGAATTTCCTGTGTCATTGTTTGCCAAAAATGATTAAAAACAATGAGCCATACCTTTGCATTTGGTGACATATTCCGCCATCAATATGAACATGAGCGCTGTAGATTACTTTGAGTTAATCTCACATACATCCTGCTGTTTCAAATACTCACTAGAGCACCAAATGTGTATTAATCCACATTTTCAAATAGTCCACAACAAATTTGCTGTTTACCCCTGATATAGTAATGTTTGCTGAGAACTACAGTACCCAGGTATTTTAGGAATGTATACAAAACAAAAGATAAACATCAGTATTATCTTTTCATTATTATTGTTACAAGCCAACATCTTAGTTAAAAAAAAAATTATAATTTAGAAAGCAACATAATTTTTCAGTAATGACCAACCAAATATTTGTTTTTGTCTTTTTAGCTGATCCTGCTTACCCTCCAGCATTCAGTCAAGGGCAGCCAATGTACCCCTACTCCAGCCAGCTTTATGGACCGCCACCGAATACACATGAACTTGACCAGCTGCCTTATAACCCCTCTTATGGGCCAAACCCCTAAACCGAATACCTAGTGGTAGACGGTACATAGTAAAATGTTTGGTGTTGATACACTGGAAACCTTTGCAGGATGTCAAATTCATATCACATACCTTTAAAAATCTACATTTTCTATAGCAGTGTGTCTGGAATTTAAACTCAATGCTGCTGCTGCTTGTTATGGGTAAATGAATAATAGCTTCAGTAATGACCATTCGTTTAGCGGTGTCCAATTTTAAATGAAAGTGTTGAATGTTAAATAAGTTGAGGAGAAAATACAAGTAACACACATCTCACATGATAAGAGAAAGAAATGATATGATGGACACAACAGTTAAGGTGTAACTTTTCTGTATCTGTTAACAATTCTTATTCATTCACATCATCTCAACACATTCTTTAATTGTTGCACTCAGTCTTGGTTTATTCTTGAACAACTGGGGAGTTTTAGGGTTTCCGTCCACCTTCAAAGAGCCAGATTTGAAGATTTAAAGATTTGAAATTATGATGACACATGTTTTGTTACTAAACTACCACTAGAGGTCGCCTCTGCCCCACTTTTGTTTTGTATAGAAAAGGGAAACGGTAGAACACTGTATGCTGCATGCTGGTGCTACTCAGTCTTGTTATCAAGCATATTGTTTTACATGCAAGACAATAAATGTGTGACTGTTTTGTCTCATTGTAATAAAGCTTTTGCAGAGATCAAAGATTTAAATAACAGATATTTTAATATCTTGATGTACAGAATACATGGTTGGTTTTTCTGTTATTAAGGAGGAATGACGATGTGGATAAACCATAAAATATCTGTTACCTATAATAAAACTTGAATTCTTCATAAAGTACAGAGAAGAAAACTGGTGTAGTGAACATAATATGGTGTTGATAATGCCTGTGGTGATGGATGGTAACTTGTTTATGCTAATTTCGAGTTGTTTTGTTTGATTATGGAATAACTGTAGTACTGCTTAGTTTATTTGTTAACGCCCCTGAACCATTGTGAACTCACAAACATCTTCTTGACTCCCCTTGATTTGTGTCGGCTGCAAATACAGTTATATAATCCTATTCTTATTAACGATGATCAATCTGACGTCACATGTAAAGGGTCACACCAAGTTGATTATCTGGAGTTTGTCCAATTTTTTATAACTTAAAATATTTGACAATCTTAGGTTTCATCAGACTGTGAGTCAGCAATATACCCTTTTCACTTCAGCCATTTTGACATGGAATAGTTTGGTAAACACAGGTGTTCTTGTTTGTATCAGAGCCTTTCCAGTGAGCCGACATGCACAATAGCAAAACCCTGACTATGTTTGACCCGAATTGAACAGAGTTTGTGTCATTGCCAATACCTGTGTTTATCCTACTATTGCATATCAAGATGGCTGCTGTGAAAAGGTTCCATTCAGAAAAGCTTCCAAACCCATCAAACAACATCATCTGTCTCTCTTCCCCAGTGAAAGTAACAGAATTTGCCAACTCAGAAATGTAAACTGTAGTCACACCAAATGACTGCAGGTTTGAACTTGTTGTTGGTCTTTTTGCTCTCTCGAGTGAGGAGTTATTTGTTGCAAAATTATGCGCTTTTTTAATGCAATGATGATGATTGCATGAGGAGTTTTCCGAGCATAACACCCTTTGGAGTTTGTGTCACCTATTCTCAACACTAGGCTTTTGTCCAACAATGCAGCAAAGTAATGGAGAGATTTACTTGCCTGCTTTTCAGACCCTCTTACAATGAAATCAGTGGTATAAAATCCATAATGTTGGAACTAAATGTTATTATCTACAGTGGGAAAAACCACTGTGCTCAGTTTAGCCTCTTCCTGTGGGATCATGTGCAGTTAAATAGTCAGAGTGAGTGTGCTTGCATTTAATCCCGTAATAACCAGCACCACTCCCTCTTATAGCATCCCGCACTATCCATGAATCAATACAGTAATAGTGCTGACTGCGGCTATCTCAGTCATCGAAGTGACGGGGGGCTATAAGAGGAAAAATGACCCTGCGTGTATGTACTGCTCCCTGCTTGCCGTCTAAAATAAGATCTCTCCTTGAAGTGTGGTTCAAACTGCTAATGAGCTCTTGTGTAGGGATGCCAGAGTCATGGAAGATGTGACAGATAATCTTTACAGCCAGCCAACACTACTGTTCTTTTCCTCTCTATCCCTTTCTTCTTCTCTTTTTCTCTTTCTTCCATCTGTTCCTCTGACTGTGCTTTGTTCTATCTGAAGACATTCTTGCCTGGCCTCCTGCCCGAGCTGCCATTACGATGTTTTCAGCATTTTCTCAACATCCCACACCATTCCTTTCTTTCTCCTTTTCTTCTGCTCTGTGGAATCCCTCTGGTATTTATTTCTCAAATCCGAGCTGCACATGGCGAACAGACAGGGTCACACTATATTATTGGATATCAGAAATCAACCTTTTGATCTGGTTTTAGTTCATCATTTAAGAGTGAGTGTGTGGGAGCAACTGCTGACAAAGGCACAAACTCTCCAATGATCTGGCAAAGATGATCTAAGAGATACAAACATGCTGAACTTTCCCACATGCTTGGAAACACAAACAGACTTGACAGCATTATTTATGTGTCGTTATTTTTAAATCTGTTCCATCACTAAGGATAAGTGATAAAAAGTTTCCAACATCATTCATATTTTGATATTTCTACACACTCAAGATATGTGTTTTTACAACCATAACTAGCTGGATGGATAGCCATAAAATTTACACTCGTCAGGTAGTGCCATCATTAAGTCACATTTTTTTTATTTGTCCAGAAAATACCTAAATTCCCATCAGCCTCAGATGTGTTTGTGTTTTTTTGCTAATTAGCAAATGTTAGCATGCTGAACTGAGATGGTGAACATTGAAGCCACCTGCTAAACCTCAGCATGTTAGAATTGTCACTGCTGCACATGCTGACTTTAGCATTTAGCTCAAATTCATCAGAGAGTTTTCGGCTTATTATCTTACCCTTTCATTGATATAGATGGGTGCGACAAAATAATAGAAACATATTAATCTTATTTTAGGATTAATCTTCTTCTTTAATACCATATTGGGGCAGCAGGGGGCTGTTTTTTTTGACACAAGAAGCAGGTTCATGTTGCCAGACAGTTCACACAAGAGGAATTCATTCTCATCCCCTAGTAACCTGTGTGTGTGTGTGTGTATGTAAACATGATGATGGTGCCCAGAGACATGAATCTTAGGTCAGTTTGAATCCTCCTTAATGTGAAAGTTTTTGCCTCTTTGTCAATGCTCAAAACTAAATTCTCACACCAACATAGTCAACCACATCCACTGGAGGCTCTTTGCAAGAAAACAAACCATCTGAATTTCAGGATATAGTTAATAATTACAGTAGCATATTTAATGCAGAGTTCAAGGTTTATGAAGACTTTTCTATTCTCGTGTCACTGGTGTGCAACTGTTGTGTGTGAGGTTTATTGTGTGGAACAGTTGAGGTGACACACTGACAGCTGCACACAGATTGACTCAAGAGAAACAGAAATCAGCTGGTTAAAACAACAGCTGTGGGTGAGAGGCCATTACTGAGGTAGGCATTGTGTTGTTTGTCTGAGCAACTTGTAGGAAAATCATAGGTGTAAAGCACTTATAATTCACGTAAAATAAAATAACAATTAATATGCTTCGTTGGAGTCTTGCAATTGTCCTTTGTGAACATTGCTCTGTAGCAGCATATACATTCCTCCCACTCTATCTTTCCAGAAGAGCTAAAGGTCTGTAATAAAGTTTCCTGGGTCACTGTGCACATTTCGGCCCCTTTTTGTCTCCCAGATTCATTCCAGATCACTGCCACCAGAAGTCAGACATCAGGGCTTTCAAGCTCCGGGTAAAAAAAACCCTTTAGACTTTTCATCTGTCTGGCTTTTTAAATCAGTTTTTTCCCTTTTATGTTCCTTGGATCTACAAACACCTGCACCAACGAGTAGCCACAGAAAGAGGCAGTTTGGACCGTGTGAACTCAACAGATAAAACAGTCTAATGTCTTTTCACCCTCTCTCCCTCTCTATTCAATAGCCTCCAAGTATCTTGACAACCTTGCCTGGTATTTTGGCAGCAGTCCCTTGAGTGTTGATGTCAGCTGAGAGAGGGGAGGCAGGGTGGTGGAGGGACTGAAAGGGAGAGAGGGGAGGGGGGAGGAGTGAGCGGGCTATTCAAGGCACTTGTCCTCTGTCTCCCTCAGAGCTTAGAGGAGGGGGGAGGCGCACATGCATTGAGAGAAACACACTTACACACACACATATACTCGTAGCGGCCACATTTTCACAGCCTGCTCTTCAGACTGACAGCAGCAAACGGAGTTGAGAGCCAGCACGACAGAGCGAGGGAGGAAGAGGACTGGAAACAAGGGAGGCATCCACAGAGGAGAGGACAGGAGTGGAGACTACACACGATTTGCCCCATTTTTTTCTCTTTTAGCTCTCTGGGAGCCATAAAAGGAATCTGCCCTGTACTCTTCTTGAACTGAACTTGCTCTGCACCTTGCTATGGCAGCCCTGGTGGGACATGGGAACACTGTCTCCCTCTCACCTTGTTCCTCTCATCCTTGGACTACCCTCCTCTGGGCTCTGTTGTCCCTTTCAAGCCAAGTGTTGGGTTTTAACCTGGATACTACTCACACACTGCATAAGTTGGGGGACCATGGGACCTTTTTTGGTTTCTCTCTAGCACTTCACCAACAGCTTACCCCAGAGCCTCAGAGCTGGTGAGTGGGTGAATGCAGCACTGAGCTCATGCCCTGTGTGTCCTGTGTGTTTTTGACTTGTTGTTGCATCTTACATACTCAGTTTCATTGTGTTTTATCTTGTATCTGCACCTGCTGCTCGTGCAAAACGTTCCCTATACCTGATCTTTCATTTTTAGGATATTTAAAAGCTGAAATTGTGAGTAAAAGCTGAGTTGTGTGGCTACAGTCAGCATTTCTGTGCTGCACCCGTCCTTGGATTTGCTAAATCATTGCACTGAAGTGAGTGCAGGAGTTTTAGCATGTACAGCATGAGCAGCCTGAACTCTGAGTTAATAGACGATGATTTACGGTAAGTGTAGAGTGGATGAGAGTAGACTTGCTGAATCAGCTGCCATGCAGTGATTTCTGACGGAGGAGAAAAAGGTTTTTAAGTGATTTTTTCCAAAGCAGTTTAGATCTGATGCTGACTTCAAACTAGGGGAGTGGACTAATATGTCCTATAGTGTGTAGGGCTGTGTGTATGTGTGTTTATGGATGATTGTTCTCTGATCCGCTGTTTGCCAACAGCTGTTTTGATGTGTCTTTCAGTGTGACTGGAACACTCATGAGCCCTGTCCCCATCCTCCAGAATCCATGAATAAATTATACCAACAGTCTGCCTGTAAATCTTTGGAAATGTTTACTGCATGACTGTAAATAAGAGGCAGTCTTAATTTACCTCCTTTGAAACTTTGTGATTAATATTTCATCTGGTGACGTGCCAGAGAGTCATAGTTTTGTAACATATCCATAGGAAGAGGTTTTTTTCATCAGTGCAGAGTTCTGTATTTTCCGCTACAAATTCAGATGTCACAGTTAATGTCATCCAAACGTTTCTATACGGTTACAACTTCACATTTTTCACTTTTAACTGAAGTGTGATACATGATTATAACAAGTGGTATTCAGATCTTGTACTTAGTAGTAGCAGTACTACAATGTAAAAATACTCCATTACAAGTAAAAGACCTGAATTTAAATTCCTATGTAATTAAAAGTACTGAAACATTATGAAGAAAACATATTTGCTGTGCAGAAAAAAATGGCCCCTGTGAGTGTCATACTGTACATTATTACTTATTATAGTATTGGATTGATTGATCGATTGCATTTTGTTAACTGTAATTATTTGTATAATCTAGAGCAACATATCATAGTAAAAAGTGAGTGAAAAATATTATATTCCCCTCTAAAATGTGTGGTAGAAGTATAAAGTTGAATAAAATGGAAGTACAGTTATCTCAAACATAAGTACTTTCCACCCCTAAGTACAGCAAATTTATGTAATGTGCATCACTTAAAATGAATTCAAACACTTTGGGTATAAGGGAATTCATTTATAACAGGTCCCTGTTTTGGAGCTCCATATTTAACTGTTGGCTCCTCAGTTTACCCGGGCTGGAGTCATCCTGTCGCCTGGTAAGACCGGGGAATGACATCAGCATTTACAGACACATAGACAGTCAGAGCCAGGGTCATGTCACTGCTCTGAAACCTGCTCACTGTTCAGCAGCATTCCTGGAACTTATTTATTTATATATTTATAACAGACGTTGAGCTCAAAATATTATATCGCTCACTACTGCGGCCTGTTTCAAACTGCAACAGAGAGAAAATGCTAATGTGCCAAACAGTCAATAAACTAACCTGATGTGCTGATGTGATGCACTAAATGGAAGACAGTGGGATGAATAATGCTGTTGCCGGCATTCTGTCATCAAACCCACTATAGATAACTTTATGATGATTTCATCCCCGTCCCAACAGCAAGGCTACTGTATCTCCATATGACTCACAGGGCTGTAGTCATGATTTTAGAAATTCTGAGGTTATGAGTCTCAGAAATTAGATTGTTTTAAAACCGTTTTGTAAATTGTTCACTTGCATTGGTAAATATTCCCCAACTTTTAATGAGCTAATAAAAGTAGTTTGGTTTAAGTTTTGTGAAATTTTCAGACAATCCAATGTCCTTTCAAATGGTATAGGTAATTAAGAAAATTAAGATATTTGAACTCAAAAACATTATGTTATTATGTCACATTTGTGAAGCATTGAATAGAGATATCTAAAGTTAGCATTAGAAATCAATAAACTCTAATTTTTCATTCAACTTGAGCCTATCACTTCTCGTCTAAAATGTGGCCATAACAGATCATTACATTCATTTCTGTTTTTTAACACCCAAACTGGGGTGGCAGCTGCCATATTGGTCACCCCACTAGATCCACCTCTGCCACTAAAACCCCACAGATTCTCAGGAGAAAATGTGGAGATTATGACCTCAGAGTCCTCAATGGCACAGCCCTGATGACTTGATGATGACTTCATCAGCACTGTGGACTACAGGAGTTCAAAACATTTCAAGTTGATGTTATTGCACTTTCAATAAGAGAAATGTATTATTCAGATAGCAACACAGCAATTATCTTTGCTGTCTGAATAATACATTTCCATTAAGCTTTATGATAGTGCCCTCTCTGTTATTGCAGCTCAAATTTGAGAGTTTACTTTCCAAGGTGCTCCCATTATCAACTCTGTTCTTCTGATGTACTTTTGTGAAACAATTTGCCTCAAACTTGTTGTAATTAGATGCTATTGACTCATTTTCTCTTTATATTATGAAGGTTTGGGTTACTGTCGCCTGTGGTCATACTGTGTTGCACTCATTGTATTTTATGCAACTGGATTCAATGGTGAAAATGATATTACAGCTTTGATCCTCTGTTCTATGCTCACTCATGGCTGAATCACACAACCCATAATGTTAAAGTGCTAATAGAAATCAGCTTAGTCATACTGTCACAAGTGAGTTTCACCTTCTCTGGTTTTGGAGTTGAACAGTGTTTTGGAGGCATTTTCTTCAAAAAGAAAAAAAGGCCTTCTTCAAAAGCAGGACCACACAATGTCGGGGAACAGACGTTCAGCTTCAGATACAGCTGGCAGTTTTAGTGAATGAATGTCTTTTTTTGTTCCGTTTTACAGTATCTCTTCAGTACAGACTTATGGCTGCCTCAAACCTACTGGTCCTTTTCAGTGAAGCAGCAAAGTCCGAGGCAAAGGTCAACCCATGTGACACAATGATCTCATGTTGACTGATGTGCTGTAATGAGATCCCGTTCAGTGACATGTTGTAAAGTGGTCTCTTGTTGATAAGAGGCTCGATCTGGCTTCTGTAAACTTTCTGTATCTCTTAGTTGTTTTTGTCCTGAAGCAGAGCCCCCAAGCTGAACTTAGGGGACTTCTCCTGCTGCTGCTGCTGATGATGCCGATGATGCCAGACAGAGAATGAGATGAGAGGGTATTTGAGTCTGAGTTATGTGTTCGTCTGCTATTTATACTGCTATGAGAAGTGCTTCTGCTAATAGTTTACTGCCTGGTGAAGACAGGAAGCCCCCTGAGCTTAATCGCACTACTGCCAATCTTCCTGAATTCAGCTACTGCATGTTTATTTATTTATGTTTTTACAGCACATGCTATAATTTTACAATACACCAGAGTCTTTCATATCTTACAATATGAGGCATTTTGAGAATATTTAAAAGATAAATAGGTTGTAATAGCAAATAGATAAATGCTTTACAGGTGCACGATGGGGACTTACTACTGGTATTTACTTTGGATTTACATTTTCACTAGATTAGAGGTTATGCTTGATCACACTAGTTCATACAATTATCAACCACATTGTTAATCAAAAATGTTACTAGTTGACAGTCTCTCCTTGAAGACACTGTTCTTCACATGAAAAGTGACACAAATAGTTGTTTGAGAAGAACATAGAGACATAGAGAAGTTCAAACCCTGGCTCCTCTCTTAATCTGCACAGCTGGCCAATCACTTTGTGAAGGAGTGTGAATGTTGGATTGTCGGTTTTGTATAGTTAGAGATATGGTCGGACACTCAAACGCCTTTCCGTCAGAAAGGTGTGGTGGGAGGGTATTTCTGAAGCTATTCGACCAACAAAGAAGACGCATACTGGCAAAGAGGCTGTACCAGCATGCTATCATGCTCACAGTGATGATGCTCACAAGCTGATGTTCAGCAGGTAGCATATTTACCATTTTCAGTGCATTAGAATGCTAACGGTTGCCTATCAGCACTAAAATCACTAAAAAAGTACAACTGCGGCTAATGAGAATGTCATTAGTTTTGTAATTATTTGGTCATATTGAACAAAGCAATATTTGACCTGATGATGGTGCAAGATGAAAAGTCAAGGGATCATGAAAATAATTACAATTCACCCTCTGGGGACCATGAATGTCTATACATCATTTCATGGCAATCAGTCCAAAAGTTGTTAAGATATTTCTGTCTGGACCAAAATCCGACCGACAGACACTAATTGCCATTCCTAGAGCCACAGCCAGCAGGGCCAATGACAAGCAGGAATTTGTTGCGACCACGTATGCCCATGCATCCACACCTTCATGCATTCACACACACACAACCTCACAAACATTTGACCTCCATGCCAAATTTCAGCCTCCTAGGGAGAAAGCTGTGACTGCCAAAGGGCGGGGAAATTGTTTTTAACCGGCCGACAGACAAAGTAGAGCTGCTGGTCACTATCATGCACTGCTGATAGTATATATTCTGGATCAGATGATTATACATACTGCAAGCATTTAGTATCATACATGAATACACTTAGAACAAAACCCATGACAGCATTATATAGCATATATAGATTTCTAGCCAACTGCCAAAGGCTTGTAAATCACACTGTAGGCTACCCAAAATGTATGCTGGAAATCCTTTAGCCTTACAGTTTCATGTCATTCCTTTATATTGATCTCAGCCTTGTGATTTAATGTAAAAGTCTTTTCTGATTTAGAGTGCTTTGACAAAGGTGGGGGACGGCAGTTCTGATGTAGGTCACAAATCATCTGTTATTGTTTTTTGCTGAAGGATCTCTATCTGGCCTTGAAAGACATCTATTGTGCTTCCTATTCCGACCCAATTGTTATCCTTCCTTT